AATTCTATGAAAAATCTTGGGAATTCTGGTTGAGTTTACCGAAAGTACAAGCTGATAATAGCCACAAATGTTAAACATGGAACAAAAAATTTAGGTTTAGCAATGTTGGCAGTTTTTTATAAAGTATATGCTGTATGCTTCAAATATAAAGAAATAAAGCTTTAGAAAAGCACATTTTGATTAAATTATGTCATGAATTCTGCAAGTTTTCATTTATATAAAACAAGAATGACCAAATATTTTTTTCTTTGGAGATTAATTGCAGTTAATTATTATTTTTTTTGGCAATTTCCCTTTGATACATTAGGGAATAGATTTAGTAATCGTCAAATCAGCAGTTGCCAGATTGCAACAGATGTTTGCAATTATTCTCGAAACCGATAAATATTTACTCGTTATTGTTTCATATAAATTAAAAATTGCAGAATAAATAAAATAGTATAATCAAAATGTACTTTTTTAAAAGTTTTGACTCTCTATATTTGAAGTATACGACATATGAATTATAAAAACATTCCAACACTGCCTAACGCCAAAATATTTTATTTCATAGTTTACATTTTTGCCGCTATATTCAGCTTGTACTTTTGGTAAACTCAACCGGAGTTCTTAATATTTCTAAGACTATTTTAAAAAATCTGTTGGATTTAATAAACTTTTCAAAAATGTACATATAATATCTATTATATGTACATTAATAAATCATAAATCGTATTATTTGGGGAATCACTGAATTCTGTTTATGTGATTACCCGTCGGTGACTAGAGTGGTCGTATTTCACGAACGGCGAATTACGACGGGTATCCCCCTGGGCTAAAATATCTTAATCAAGAAGAAGAAGAGCTTTTGCCAGTGACTTTTTGGTGTGTTTGCCTTTGTACAAGCCATGCAACAAAAATTCGAACTCAAGCCTGAAGAGGTATATAAATAAAGATATCCTTACCTATCCCAACGAGAATAACTTTGATTAATTCACTGGTTCCATTTAAAACAGAGCTGATTCCGTCTGCGCGAACGAGATGCGCATACTTATTTTTTCAAGCAGAGTGGGCATTCTGATTGTTTATTATTCTGTGGCTAAATATGGTTGTCGAGCATAGAACAGGCCAGAAAATCTTTCGAAAAAATAAAAAAAAACTGCTTTGTGATTCTCGAATAAAACTCGAAATTCGACTACATTTATCAAAATGCTACGTCTGGTCGACTCTTTTATATGCAGTTGAAACGTGGACCCTTAAAACATCAACCGTAAATAAATTGGTGGCCTTTGAAATGTGGATCTACCGAAGAATACTCAAAATTTCATGGACATTGCATACCTCAAACGAAGAAGTGCTGCATAGAATAGGCAAAGAAAGAGAACTTTTTAACACAGTAAAAGTTAGAAAAACATCATACCTAGGCCACATACTGAGAAATAATAAGTACCAATATGCTCAACTTATAGTGAAAGGAAAAATCGAGGGAAAGAGAGGCCTAATAAGGAAAAGACTATCCTGGCTCAGAAACATCCGACAATGGACAGGGCTAAATTTTCAACAGCTAATAAGAACAGCTGAAGATAGAGAAGAGCTTACAATTGTAGTAGCCAACCTCCATTGAATAGAGGGCACTTTAAGAAGAAGAAGAAATATGGTTGTCAAGTTGTAGGAAACTCTAGGAAAATTTTGGCAAAAATTCCAGGGAATTAAAAAAAAATCATCTGGCAACCATTCGTCAGTTGTAATATAAATCTCGACTAAGTAGGTGCTGGTATGTCGCGATCCCTGAGGGCCAACACGTGAATTTTCCGTGTGAAGAGCATTAGTAGATAAATAAACGTACGTTAATTTGACGTGTCAAGAGTTTTATCGGACATTTTTTAATTATAAAATGAGTAGAAAGGCGCTAACATATGCCGAACTTGAATGGTTGATTTATGAGAGTAATGAGAGTGAGAAAGAATTACCTCCAGTATCAATTTTCTGGAGGTATTTATTTAATTTAGTTTGTGCCAATAATTGTTAAACTAATCTCAATAATTTTTAGGGTGCTGCTATTGATCTCAACACAAGGGAACACAATATAGTTCCAGATGGAGATACTCTTCTAGATAGGTTCTAGAAACCAACTGATTCTAGTGACAGTGAAAATGAATCGAGTATTCCGAATCAGAATAAAAAAGAAAACATGTGACCGGATATACCAAACCGTTGGGACAAGATGTATCGGCGTCCACCAGTAAAGAAAAAGAATAAACGAATTTCGGACAAAAAGAATATACGAACATGTTGAAGCTGCTATAGAATCTGCCATTGCCAAACATTCTGAAGTCTCCGAACAAGAAATTTTAAAATAACCAATAGTATCCAACTCTATGAGTGAAGCTCTTATCTGGGGGCCGGTCAAGAACGGTCAAATTTACAGAAATTTACATGTGCGGACCATAATTCTGTAGGTTTTCATATACAATTATACGAAAACTTCTACAACCAATCGCGCTTTTAATTCTAATTGATTTTGGTCAACTGACGTTGATTTTTTTTATTTCTGGGTTTGGTTTCTTTTAATTTGAAGAAACCAATCGTTATGCCCTGCAATGTCAGGAAAGAAATCAAAAAAGCGCACATATTACCGAGTGGCACAACACTGATGTCGCCAAAATAAAACGATCCCTGGGTATAGTTATATGGATGGGATTATATAATTTTCCATCTTTTCATACGTACTGGTCAAAGAATGATCTTTATGTGAATAATATCAAAAAAAGTACTGTCACGGAATCGCTTCCAGTTATTGTGAATAACGCTGCATTTCAACGACAATTCAGTAAGAACATATGACCGTTTGCAGAAGATAGTTCCTTTGGTTAGCAGACTGAAGAATAAATTCAAGGCTGCCATCGTTCCAAAGGAAATCGTGTGCATTGACGAAACTTTAGTGTTTCGTAATCCGGGTTTGCGCCATGAACAGGACAATAAAAGTAGTTAATAAATAAATGGTTTTTCGGAATCTGTAAATACACAGTAGAAATTAAGTGTCCTTGTAGAAATAATATGAATTAGGAAAGTTTGTAGGTATTTCTGATTTTATGTGGGGAGTGTTATGAAAATTTCTTATTGGCCGAGAATTTGGAAAGTGGTGAGATGGGTGTATATAATAGGGGTTGGATGGATAGATAAGATGAGATAATTAGTTAGTTCCAGTTTCTTAAAGTGAATGGTTGGTTGATAAAGTGATAAAGAATAAGTTGTGAGTTGGTGAAGTAAATGTGTTCGACGGTAGTGGATCTGGTACAAATTTGTAAGTAAACTTTTTCCTACTTGTATTCTCCGTATCGCTGTTTATTTCGGAACGAGAAATTAAGTTTGGCGAGAGGAAAAGAGGCTGCCATTATTGGAAAGGTACGTGCATTCGAAGGAGAGCATTGAAGACACTAAATTGCAATATCTTCTTTAATATTACCAATTACATAGGAGGCTGCTGAGAACTGATAGTTTATTTTGCATAGAACGAGGAATTGGACAACTCGAGGCAGAGCAAGCGTTTCAACGGGAGAAATATTCATAATTAATTTCAATTTGAGAGTTTTGGGTCAAATAATATTATATTATATTAGTAACGTGTGAATAAGTTGTCGATAGTCGAAGGAGATCAAATTTGGTCTGAGAGGGGACGGAGCTGTGGAGAGAATTGGATAATTCATACAAATTTTTCTTGGTTACAATGGATATACCCAAACTGCATTAGGAAGGACACTGAATATTACTTGATTTGTTTATGTAGAGTAAAAAGCTTGATTTTAGATTAAAATTGTATTGTATTATCCATGCATTATTGCAGGGTTCACGTACGTAGAACGATTTTTGTTTGACAAACATTTTATGCTAATAATTTTTGGAGGTCTTTTAATCAGTTATTTTATTACATTATTTTCATATCATATTATGTTGTTTTATTCCGTTATTCTTTGGACCTAACCCATTAGCTGTAAAGTATAGATATTGAAGCACGAGTAAAACCTGAGATAACAAAATTGAAAGGTGTGATATATATATATATATATATATATATATATATATATATATATATATATATATATATTATATATATATATGTGTATTGGCCTCTCATGCCACTCAATATGTTAAGGATGTGGAATAACGTTTAGTGCGGGGTAAGTTTAGTACTTAGTACTTTAGTACTAAACTTACTGTGGAGTAAGTTTAGTAAAGATTAGTTTGTTTACTATTCCGTTTGAGTATGAATTTTTTATCAATACTTTCTTTTATTTCCGTAGCCAACACTCTATGTAGGTTGGGTGTGACAACTTTGTGACTGTATTTTTCAGTCCTAGAACTAGAAGTTTTTTTTTCATTGGATATGGGTGTTCAGAATATTAAGCGATAAACCTTATCCTTGATGTAGGTTTTCTGGGTAGGTACTTTTATCCAGAGAAATAAGTAAAAGAATAAGACATTCATCAGCAAGGTACAAAATACAAAAAAAAAAGAATTAAAAAAGAATACTGGAATGAACAAACAAAAAGAATGGAAGAAGAAAAAGTGGCGATATAGGTAAAAAAAAATCACCCGTAAGAGTACAAGAAAAAGTACGAACAAAATTTAGGGATGACTCAAACACTAAAAGAAAAAGAAAAACAAGAAGAAGCAAAAGTAGATAGAAAAGAGCAAGAATATCAAGTCTAAGAGATATGGAGAAAAAGTGATGAATTATACGACTATGAAGGCGGTAACAACACTTTTTAATAATAATATTCAAAAGTTTTTTTGTTGCTTCAAGTTTTTATATTTAATAATTCTAAAATTTTGCTTGAGGTGAGATATCAAGTAAAAATTCTTCACTACTGAAAATAAATATTTATAATGCACAATGTTTTTATAAAAGTTTCCTGTAAAGTAGAGATAATACGCTTCATTTGTATTTTTAAGCAAATTATTCATTAGTGAATGAAAAAGATTACAAAAAATAATTACTTACATTGATATATTAAGAAACACTGATAATAAGAACTCGTTGTAAATTGCCATGGAGATAAATCGGCTTTCATTGAACTCGGATGGCGCTTTTCTCACAACAATGCACAGTCTGATTCCCCAAACCAAAAAGAGGACTTCCACTGAAACAAAACAATAAAAACATGCTCCAATAAGTTTGTCACAAGCTACACAGTCAAAATATAATAAGAGTTTTACAAAAATATGTTTCTAAATCTCTTTATTCCATTGAGGATATTTAAGAAAGTATTTTTTATTGGGGCAAATAAATCCGCCGCAACCGCTTTAAGTTATTTTTTTCTCAGCGACAAACATAAGTAGATATATATACAACAATATAAAGCACATTATATTTCAACAAAATTTTATAATCTGATATATGTATAGTATTGTTGCTAACTGAACATTTGGTTCAATGAGAATATCATATGTTGGACACTGCTTTGGCTTGGTGTGGTATGACATATGCAACACACTTGAATTTTTTTACAAAACAACATCAAAACAAATTGTTTTGGAAAAGCAGGACTTGCGTTGTAATTTTTGACATACATATTTTTTAATACTTTATGTAGAAAATATAAAAAGCGAAATGTACATACTATACAGTGTTATGATAATTTTTCAAAAAGTCAGGGTTTATTGTATTATTATTCCATAAACTTATTATAGTATTCATTTGACTCTCGACCTGCAAACATCGCATCGATACAAATTAGGCGAAAGTTTACAGTGTGATTAAAAACGGGCTCCGGCCGCGTTTTTACCGTCATTATCGTGTATCAAGTGGATATACTATTTATAAACTATTTAAAAATTAAAATATACAGTTTTAACAATTAAAATGAGTGCTCCACCAGATTTATCGGTGAGTGTTCCTTTTTATACTGCTACTGTTAATGGTCAACCTATAAATACTCAATATCAGCAACAACAAATTCAACCAGAATGCCCAAATGTCCTTTTTGCACAAAATTCACAACCAAATTCAGCACAAATTTTAAACAATCCACCAACAACAATATATTATGTTCCTAACCAAGTACTATTACAATCTTCCTCAAACTGTCAATACAATCCTACAATAAATCCCACATTATCTACACCTCAAAATGAAGCTTATGATTCTATTGAGATGACACATACATTACAAAGTGAAGAATCTTCAGAGGAAATCAGCGACATTGAGTCATCGGACATCCACGAATGGCAAACTATACAACATAGTAACAAAAAACGTAAAATTAATCCTCCGACACCAACAGAAAACGAAGACATGGTAGTAACCAGCAATAAATTTCAGATTCTACAAAATGAAAACGAAAACGGCAACAATAACAGTACAGAAAATACCAACAAAACTCCAGCAACCAATAAACCCCCACCAATTTTTATATATGGTGTTACTGAATACAATAAAATGGTTAATAATCTATCAGAAGTAGCAAAAACAGAGACATTCTATTGTACAGCATTAAAAAACAATACAATAAAAATAAATTCTCGGGACTCTGAAACATACCGAAAACTAGTAAGACATTTAAACGGCAAAAAAATTGTGCATCATACATACCAGATGAAAGAGGATAGAGCATACAGAGTTGTAATTCGTAATCTACATCATACAGTGCCCATTAATATAATAAAAAGTGAAATAGAAAAACATGGGCATTTAGTACGCAATATTGTAAATATAAAACATAGAGTAAGTAAGGACCCTCTAATGATGTTCTACGTCGATATAGAACCTAATCAAAATACTAAAAAAATATATGAAATTCAATTTATAAACAACGCGAAAATAGTTATTGAGCCACCGTATAAAAAGAATAATATTGTCCAGTGTACCAGATGCCAATTGTACGGACACTCTAAGACATACTGTAATAGACCTTATCACTGTGTCAAATGTGGAGGCAACCATATGTCAGCCGATTGTAAAAAACCTAGGGACACACCTGCCATATGCGCTCTCTGCAATGGAGCACACACTGCAAATTACAAAGGATGCCTAGTATATAAAGAGTTAATTAGCAGTAGAAATAGAGCAAGAGGAATATCATCGCACACTCCAGCGAACAATCAACTGTCATATAATAGAAATACAAGTAGCAACTTACGCTCAAGTAACAAGTGGAACACATGGAAGCAATACACACAATGACATTGGAGAGATGATGAAGAGTTTCCTTAACGAATTCAAATCTATGTTTTCACAACTAATAAATCAAAATAGCGTGATCTTAAACATGCTTTCCACAGTAATAAATAAACTCAGTAATGGAACTTAAGTCACTACGAATTGCACAATGGAATGCCAACGGCCTAGGCAACCATAACACAGAAGTTACTAACTTTCTTGAACATAACAAAATTGATGTTCTACTCATATCGGAAACCCATTTCACTGACAGAACGATGTTCAAGATCCCTCATTACTCTATTTACAATACCAACCATCCTGATGGAACAGCACACGGTGGCGCTGCTATTATTATACGTAACACCATACCACACTATGAGGAAACAATGTACCAGACGGAAAAAATACAAGCTGCAGTAATCTGTATCAGTTCGCAACCACAGTCTTTTAACATCGCGGCAATGTACAGCCCTCCAAGGCATAATATCTCCACAGCAGAATATGAAGACTTCTTTAAACAGCTATCAAACAAATTCTTGATTGGAGGTGACTGGAATGCCAAGCATACAGACTGGGGGTCGAGACTATGTACGACAAAGGGAAGAAATCTTAGGCAAGCCATAGCTAATACAAACAGCTCTTACTTATCTACAGGGCAACCCACCTACTGGCCATCAGATCCAAACAAAATCCCAGATCTACTTGACTTCTTTATCCTTCATAACATGGCCTTAAATTATTTTGACATACAACCATCCTGGGATCTGTCCACCGACCATACTCCCATAATTGTAACACTATCTACGCAAATTATAAAACGTCCGCATATCCCTAAGTTAACAACATTAAAGACCAACTGGAATGTATTCGAGTCTTACATAAATGAAAATTTAAATTTAAATATAAGATTAAAGCAACCAGACGATATCGATAACGCTGTGCTTATTCTCACCCAAACTATACATGCAGCCGCAGAAATAGCTACACCCCCTCAGAATGACAAAGAACCAAGTGACACCAATATACCCGTGTATATAAAACGTCTTGTAGCGCAAAAAAGAAGAGCCAGGCGCATATGGCAAAGAAGTCGCAATCCTATAGACAAAAATGAATACAATAGATTAACACGGCAACTTAAAACTGCTCTACAAGACGCGAGGAATGATACATTTGAACTATTCATCGACAGCCTGTCAAAAGAAGACCACAGCATCTGGAAAGCAACGAAATCATTCAAGAGGCCTACACAGCACATACCACCTCTAAGGAAAGACGATGGAAGCTGGGGTAAAACTGAACAAGAAAAGGCATCAATCTTTGCTGCTCATCTCTCACACGTTTTTGGTGCACCTGAACTTAATAACCATAATAACGAAGAACAAGTTAAAAACTTTTTAGACACTCCATGCCCAATGATGCTACCAATCAAATTCTTTACACCTAATAATGTAAAAGAACAAATTTCTAGATGCAATAACTACAAAGCACCAGGCTTCGACATGATCACCGGGCTAATATTAAAAAAATTACCGAGAAAAGCAATTGTCCTACTAACAATGATATATAATAGTATCATAAGATTAGCCTACTACCCGATTAATTGGAAGTTTGCACAAATAATTATGATAAGTAAACCAAATAAACCACCAAATAATATTACTTCATATAGACCAATCAGCTTACTTCCAATAATGTCAAAAATCTTTGAAAGACTTCTGCTCCAAAGAATCTCAGAAGACATCGAAATTAATTCAGTGATCCCAAACCACCAGTTTGGTTTCCGCGAAGCCCATTCAACTCTACAACAGTGCCATAGGATTGTAAAAAACATTAATGTATGCCTCGAAGAGAAAAAAATTTGCACTGCTGCCTTCCTGGATATAGAACAAGCCTTCGACCGTGTTTGGCATGACGGCCTCCTATATAAACTTAAGTCATCCTTTCCCACCCCTCACTATCTTCTTTTAAAATCATACCTCACAGAACGTTACTTTCAAGTCAAATTCCTTACAGAAACCTCTCATTACTATCCCATAAAATCCGGTGTCCCTCAAGGAAGTGTCCTGGGTCCCCTCCTGTACCTCATATACACTGCTGATATCCCAACAACAAATACGACCACAGTAGCCATGTTCGCAGATGACACCGCCATAATATCCATCGATGATGACCCCCAAGTAGCATCAGGAAACCTTCAAATACACCTGAACCTAGTACAAGACTGGATGAATAGATGGAAAATCAAAGTTAACCATAATAAGTCTAATCAAATTACATTCACCAATAGGAACATCATATGTCCGAGAATCAGACTGAACAATATACTACTACCAGTAAAAACAGAAGTCAAATACCTGGGAATGACACTTGATCAAAAACTCACTTGGAAAGCACACATCTTGGCCAAAAAGAACCAAATCAACATGAAAATACGTCAAATGAATTGGCTAATAGGCCGAAAATCACAGTTATCAACAGATAATAAACTTCTATTGTATAAGTGCATAATAAAGCCTATATGGACATATGGAGTGCAACTATGGGGCTGTGCAAAGCCTTCTAATACCAATATCATTCAGAGAATCCAATCCAAAATACTCAGAATGATTTTCAACGCGCCGTGGTACGTTAGTAACAAAACTCTGCATGATGACTCTGGTATACCGTTCGTTGAAGACGAAATCAGCAGACTAACAAGAAATTATTTAGAACATCTGCCAACCCACCCCAACGAGGAAGCAAGACAACTACACCTCCAACCAGAAGTCAGACGAAGATTGAAGAGACAGTGGCCAACAGACTTTATTCACTAATTTCAATTTTAATTTTACTTTTCATCTCAATTTTAGTTTTAAATTATAATCATACATTAATTTAATTTGTTAGTGTTGGTATTGGGAGTGTTATCAATGGATAATTTCTCCTCTCATGTAATTGCAATAATCACATTTACTAATAGCTTGTAATAGCAGATTGTAA